CCAATCACAACACACACTGGCCCAGCCAACCAATCACAACACACACTGGCCCAGCTAACCAATCACAGCACATTTCGTATTTCAGAAGGCAGGCCTTCATTTGATACAGGAACTATTCGAGCTGTTCATGCCAGACTGGGGAGAGAGGTGTTGTAATAATGTAAAATATTTGAAAAATAATGTGTTTTTCGAACAAACTAGTATGAGAGCCTGTTCTAGTACACCCCCAAAACAAAATCAAGACTTTGTAAAAGAGCATAATAGGACCGCTTTAAAATGTGAAAATGTATTGGTATGTACTAACGTTCAAAAGTTTGGGGTTGGCACGAGTTTTTAAAAGATTTCTCTTATACTCACCAAGGCTGCATTTATTTGATTAAAAATTACAGCAAAAACAACAATACGGTGAAATATTATTGCAATTAAATATAACTGTTTTCTATTTTCACACAAATGTAATGTAATTTATTCCTGTGATGCAAAGCTGAATTTTCTACAGTCACTACTTCAGCCTTTAGTGTCACACGATCCTACAGAAATCATTCTAATATGTTAATTTCGTGCTCAAGAAACATTTCTTCTTATTATTAAATAAGTCTTTTGTAACATTGTATTGCTTTACTGTCATGTGATCAATTGAATGCATTCTTGCGGAGTAAAAGTACTAATTTCTTTTAAAAAAAACACTGTACATTTTACTTAATGTAACGTTCATTGTTGGTTCATGAAACCTTATGCATTATCTAATGTAATTTACCACTTTGTTTAGACATATTTACATATGGTATCAGAAGTTGCTTTTAATCGCAATGCTTCTATTAACGTTGTGTTTAGGTATAGAAGATAATCGATTAAGGGGTTGAAGTGCTTGCTCTAATTTTAACGCAGTGTCGCAGTAGAAAGACTAAAGGAGATGGTGTGGGAGAATATGTATGCATACTATACCTGTCAACACTCCCGTTTTTCCCGGGAGTCTCCCGTAATTCACACCCCTCCCGTTTTGTTATTTCTCTCGCAAAACTCCCGTAATTTGTGTGGCCCAAACCTCGTTAAATGAATGATCACATGAATATATTACCCCAAGGTTGTCAAGTTGCCAGATCTTGTATGAAATGCATCCTACTCACACAATCCATACATCAACCCATTTGTGATCTCAACCTGGCAACCAGTTGCAAAATCCAGTTGCGCTGTTGATATCTGTGCAGGTAGCAGACGTCGGAATCAAGCGAAATGGAAGGAGAAGACTCGAGTGGTGTCTTAAAATATAAAAAATATATATACACACGTAAATGTAACTAAAAAAAAAAGTCTATGCATAACCTGGTGTTTTATTCGTATCTGAAATTAGGAGATGTGAACATTACGGAGCGCTAAACACTCTCATGCTTATGGTTTATGTGTGTTTTCAAGTCATTTCCAGGTAATAAATAAAGTATCTGAGTGATGCAGTGCTAACTGATATAGCATTTATTACAGTAGCCTATAGAAACTAAACCATATATTTTCTGCCTTATTCTGTGATATAATTTTTTTTTTTAAAAAGTGTGGTATATAAACAAATCATAAAATTGACCGTTAGGAAAATATAGGAAAAAATATTACAGAATACAAAGTTTTCATCAGTTAAAATATTATTTTGAATTTATTTTACTGTTTAGATATTTTAGCTTTTTGAATCTCTGTCGCCTTTGATTTCCAGAAATAGTTTGTTTTGAAGCCAACTTGCCTATTGCGTTCTTTATGCAAATGCTGCTTTTACTCTTCCAACTTTAAAAAAAAATATGATTGTGACTGATTTCTCAACAATCTTGATCAGGAGAAGGAGAGGGCTCTTCAGGGCAGTGTTGAGGCAGCCAGCAGCGAACCCCGCTCGGCATCTCCCCCCGACCCCGTAGAAGATTCGACTCCGGACGGGGAAGCGAACCGACTGTTGGAGTGGCCTCAGCTGGAGCTGGAGCGAGTTAACAGTTTCCTGACCAGCCGTCTGGAGGAGATCAAAAACACCATAAAAGACTCCATACGTGCCTCCTTCAGCATGTACGACCTCAACCTGGACGTCAACGACTTCCCGAAAAAGGCGGCGACACTGGAAGGAAACCATCTGCTGTCTCACCTCAATGGATCTTCTGATTTGCAGCAGATAGACTTGGATCTGGCGCCTCTCTCACTGAGGAACTTCAAGAGAGACCTGGATATAGTAAACGGTTGGGAGGACACCACCACTGCAGCCAAAGACATCCAGAGGCTCCACTCCACGCCAAGTCTTTCCAAGCTCATCCGTGTGCAGTCACCAGAACGAAGCCCAGCCACGGGTTCAGAGTCCATCCAGCCTGGCACCGCATCTGCTGCCAAGCCCAGCGATGCGGCCCTTGAAACCAAGCCCACAACTGGCGCCGGATCCAAGACAAAAAAGGGTAAGAAACAGCAGAATCAGAGGCACCAGGAGCAGGCAACTCAGGAGCAGGTGACCAGTATAAAAATGGCAAAAACTGAGATGCACAAAGCGCAGGAAACAAGGGCCGCTGATTCAGATAAAAGCACCAAAGGTGGATCCAAACAGAACCACCAGACTCAGCAGCAGGCATACTCACAGAAAACAGGAAATAAGAGAGCAGAAGAGGTCAAAGCTTGCAAGCAGTCATCCAATGGAGCCTCAAACGGTCACCATAATACAGGGTCTAACACGCAGAGGGGGAAGAACGACCTCTTGGAGGCACGGGGAAACAGGTCGGAGCATGACGTAGACACTAAAACCAACTCCAACACTTCCAGTTCACAGCAGCAAGCACAGCAACCGAAGGGAAAGACTAAAAATAAGAACAAAAACAAGACGGAAAAATCGAATAACGCAATCGGTAAGTGACCTTTGGGCAATATCAAGTTGGTCTGATCTTGTAGGTCTGTTGCATCAGACCAATTTACAGCTCTTCATCCCTTTTTTCCCCCCCTTTCTCCCTGATAGATGATGTGTTCCTTCCCAAAGACGTCGACCCTACGGAAATGGACGAGATTGATCGTGAGGTTGAATATTTCAAGAGGTAAAGTCCAAAACAAACCGCTCTGTTAATTAGTGGCATTTGACAAACATTACTATCATAATTATTATTGTTACAATAGAGTTACTTTATTAGAGTTACTAATAAATATCAGTATTATTTTAATAAGTGTACGATTTTGTTCTAGTGAGATATCACTAGCTGCGTTACCATTACAGATTTGCGCAAAACTTTTGCAATATTTTATAAAGGTCGATAAAAAAAAACTATTGCGAAATGACGGTATTACCATTAACCAGTGTTATGTGACTAAAATGTAACTTTTTTTTCTTCTCCTGATAAGACACGGTGACGGATGTTGGTAGGCCCCTTATACAGGTGCATCTCAATAAATTAGAATGTCGTGGAAAAGTTCATTTATTTCAGTAATTCAACTCAAATTGTGAAACTC